TTTATGATATGCTTCTTTGTCCATTTTCAATTTTTTTTTCTAACTAGATTTAATTTACTGTGTTTGTATTCTACTTGTTTGAACTACCTTTTTTTTTTTTTTTTGTCATTTATGTCTTGTTACCAAATTGCAAGAGATTGTAGCATGAATTTGCGATCAATGTATTGACTACAGAATTTTCTGTTTCAGTCGAAAATTGCTACTTGAATGACTTTCCAGGAATCTGTTCAAGTTTATCTGCAGAGGAGGTACGGGCTTTAGTTTGCAGGAAGCTCATTTCATATGTTCGTACAACAATTTTTTCTTTTTTTCAACATGACAATGATTCTGAGGAAGAATACAATCAATGTGTAGACACTTTGGATTTTTTTTTTTTTTCCAGTTCTCCCAGGGTATCTGTGGTAAGTTTTCAACACGTACACTTTGCACTGAGTTCAGATGTCTTTTGTGTGGCTTTGTCCTTCTTTACACACGGGAGATTTAAGTATCTCGTGTCATCAGAAATTATGTACATGACAAAAAGAAATTTGAAAACTATTCTTCACAAATTTAAAAGTTATGTACTTGCTTCCATTTCTTAATTTTAAACATTTGATTGCCCTGTACGTTGATGATGATATCTGGAGTTAATAATATAATAGAGAAAATGGAAGACAAAATATAAACATTTACCTTAAAAACTTTTGATATTCATTTAGGAGGTCCTGAAGATTATGCAAATGAAATGTGAAAACTGTGAGATAAGAAATAGTATTTTTCTACTCAAAATGAAAATTGCATTGCAAGTGAACTACTCTGAGTCTGAGTGTAAATAACTACATTAAATAATGAATGTTCTGCTATAAATAGTAGAAAAAAATCAAAATTAAATATTTTATTTTCCTAAAAGTACATAAGCTTAGGATCGTTCAAGTTAAATTTGAAACTAATTCATCGACTAGTTTCATTTTTGTAAAGAACTTTCACAAAAGTTGCATACCTACTTACAATATAAGTAGATGATAGTCAAAGCATTAATCAGTTGGAACAGGTCCAGCCTATGCGGGATCCTTCTCATAATGCCAGGTTCAAGATTACAATGTCCTTCCTACTGTGGAATGAAATAGGCACCTTTCTTCTCATTAATTCCGGTTGCAGAAGGTTCTTTCCCTGCTTCTGTAGTTTAATTAGGGAGGCTTTGTGTGCCTCGTAATACTGGCAACAGGACACCTATTTGCTGTTCCTACCTGCCCTCCTCGTAATTCTGGATACAGGATGTTTCTGCCCTGCATTTACAGTTGAGTGAGTTATGATTTTGCTCGTAATACCAGTTACAGCTTTACCCTGTTCTTATGGCTGAGTAGAAGCAAAGCTATGATCCCATAATGCCAGGCTTGGTTTGTTGTACTTCATGCTCCTACAATGGTTTGGGAACATGTCCAGTTACGACCAAAATCTCGCTTCCTCTTCGTAATTCCAGTTGCTTGACGTATGACACACTATTTACTTATGGTTGGGGTTGTTGGGTATATATAACATGGTCCACATGCCATAGCCATAATGTTGTTATTAGAATCTTTTTTTCATCTTCAACCTCCTAATGCTGAGGACGAGTTACGGAACCTTATCTGTCTGGTTGAGGTTGAGAATGTACATAGCTATTCTGTTTCTACGTTATTGTAGCTTGCTCCTATCAAACTGTATTCTGTTTGTGCAAGGAACTTCATTTTCTGTCCATTTTGGATTCATTTTCTACTTTTTGGGCAAAGAGCATACCTGTTCCAAAAGTAGTGCACTACCCCACGGGTGTGCTTCTTTTTCATCTCCAAGCACACCCATTCATTCTGGGTGGTCATTTTCTGCTTGGTTTGATATTTGTGGGCCTACACCAGCCTCTCCACTTTTGGAATGTGGGATTCTAGCATTTTTTGTGAGAAGTAAGACCATATCGGAAATTTAAAATTTTTTTTTACACTGAAAAGGTGTTTCTGATAGGTAAGTACTTCCTATCCTTCTTTGCCACTGCCGGTGTGCTCCTTTTGGAGCCTACCAATTCTCAAAAGTGAGGAAATAACAGAGTGAGCTGGCTGCACCAGTATAGGTGGCACAATATTATTGGTAGAGAGTAGTCACATGATATGTACACGTTTAGAAATGGTGTGAAATTGATGGGGTATATAGACTGGTGCTCTAATTGCAAAGAATTTTTAGCAATTTTTAGAGGGCAGATGAACATTGAGATATTTTTTGCTAGAGGAGGTAAGTTCCTATTGGAAATACATTTTTAGTGTAAGAAAAATATTAACTTTTCTGAGGATACGTTACAAATCTCAATTACAGTATGTATTGTTGCACTTGTATCATTCCCCAGATTGAGTCATCTATTTTATATGACCCTGCTGAGAAAAGACTTAAGAAGTGTGTATTTTTGACTATCAAACTATCTTAGGCTATCTTTGCACAAACTACCATTAAATCCATCCACTAATTCTTATCCAATTAGATACTTCTTTCATTTCAAATTAGATAGTATGACTACCCTGCCTGTCCAATGTAAGAAGAATTTTGTCACCCCTGATTCTACTAGACAAGCCCCCATGTAATTTATATTTAACTGAAGAATTGTTAAAATTTGTTTTCATTCAAATGTTTAACACTTTAAAAACAATGGTTCCTCATATTTGGTGTGATCACTTCTAACTTTCCCAGTTTTGTAGTAACTTGAAATAAAGTCCTGTTTTTTGTATATTAATACTTTTGTTTTCCATGTGTAGTTACATGTTTGTGTGTATGTGAATTATACAAGTGTTTGTCTTTTATAATGGTTCTATACAAAAGAAATTGATTATTTACATTCTTATTTCTTTAGTGATATGGCTGTGGTATTATATGTGGAGTGATTTATGACACTTGACAAGCAAGCAATTAATACCTAGTATGTGTTGAGGATCACCAGCAAGTTTTTTTGTTGTTATTTTTTTAACAGGAGTTCAAGTTGTACCAGGAACCCCAGATCCAATTACAGATTCTAAAGAAGCTTATGAATTCTGCCAACAGCATGGATTTCCAGTTATTCTTAAGGCTGCATATGGTGGTGGAGGACGTGGGATGAGAGCAGTTCACAACTTAGAAGTGAGTATTTTGTTATTATTCCTAAAACAAATGTTAGTTGTGGATAATTGTACTCTATATACAGTATTTATACTTAAAAATAGTTTTTGTTGTTTCTTTTAGTATACCTTTACATCTAAGTACAATTATCAGGTGCTCAGCACCAAATATAACCTTGGAACTTACCTTTTATAGCTTATACTTTTAAAAAAAGCAAGACTTAACAAATTGTGTAAAAGTAGAATCAAATATGGAGATATAAATGCATCATTTATCAAGCTTTTAGATTATAATATACAAATTTAGTCCACCAAAAAGAATGGAAAGAGCTTAACTTTGGTGCTGATAATAAATATGCCCCAAGCTTTTAACTTCAGTTTTTAAGGTAAACAGTAGGAATGGTAGCATCTCAAAGTAATTTTGTAAAGAATATTAAAGCAGCATGAAAAATGTATTAAAATCAGTTGACAGCTTCTAAAATCAACTTGCATAAACAAGAACAGTTAACATCTGTTAAAGGTATCATGCTATACATCTAAAGCTCCACTGAATACAAACAATAAAAAATATTTTAATTTGATAGATGCACAAGGAGGAGAATTCATACTTTGTGTATGGAAAATTTGGTGCTGTGATATTTTGTATTTGAATACACACAGTTTATAAAGTTTAAAGGCAGTGCTTTGTATTTAAAGTAATTAAAAACAGTAAAGTGACCTGCCTAAGCTACTCATTTATGAGGTTAAGTATGTAGAGTTCTGAATGAATCTGATGTCCATGGCTGACAAGTTAAACCTAAGTGAGTTATACCTATTCCGTAATACATGATACTTTCTAAACACCTCTAGTACAAAAAACACTTTGAACCTAGTGGTCTGATTGAAAGCAACAAACTGATGCTTATCTAGAAAGAAACTCAGATTTTGTGACAATTTCAAAACCTGGGTATTGGGAACAAATATTGAAACTTAGTTACTTCTCAGGTCCCTACTTAGTAGGGTGGTGATACTGGTATGCATAAGTATCTATCTATAAACAAATGAAAAAATCCACACACAACCTTTATACATAAATACTGCTGTTTTCGATTGGGATGAGGCTCTGAGGGATGAAAGATCCATTCTCCAAATACCTTTCTCTATTCAATGCATAATACTATCTACATCCATCCTTTCCATAGGCATATGGTGACATTGTCCATAATTCCCTCTTCCTAGTTTCATTTTTGTATTGCTTAATGAAGTTTAAAAAGCTTCCCCCCCATGTTACTCTTTTAATTATATAAATATTAATTTTATGAAATGTAAAAAGATTCTAATATTAAAAAGGCATTCTGTATTTTTTGACTTTTTAACATGATTTAATTATTTGTAACTGTTGGTATTAAGATAAGTTCTGATTTGATTAGTTTGACTTTTGATAAGCAGCTTCTTTAATGCTTGATTTTTGTTTTCTTAAAAACAAAAAAACATGATCTCCTCTTTTTGTGATCTTAAATTCCTTGTGATTTTGACAGATTTTTAGTCACAACAAGAACTGAAATAATGGTTTACCTCAAAGAAACTTAAATGAGGAAAATCTTTCCTTCTACTATAAAGAAATTGTTTTTAAATGTAGACTTCAGAGAAATTTTTATTAAACTTGGCCATTTTTCACTGAATACATATTTGAAAAAGAAATAGTGGTGACCATTTTAATTTTTCTGCCTGTTTTTGTCAAGTATTAATTGAAACGCAATATCTGTTTTTAACTTTTAGAGATTGTGATGTGTGACATTTCTGTCTGGTTGTTACATTCACAGTCAAACATCTGGATTATTATATTGTACAATTAATCAGTTTATGCTTGTGACCTTCTGCTTTATCTTCTAGCATAGAGTGGAAAGAAACATCACAATAATATTGCATGTTATTTTTTAAAACTTGCCTGGTATAGTAAAAGTATGTAACATCATTATGCACAGAAGATATAATGTTATTTCTGCCTTATCCTTGTTACGTCCCTCTGTCTTTTTCTATACTTCTACTCATCATTTTGAAAATTCATTAGAAATGTATAAAAATATGGAAACCTAAATATATCATTACAGAATTACATGTGGTGTTAATAATGGATAATGATTAAATTGATTGTGTGAAGTTTAATAATAAAGATACATTAGTGTGTGACAATAATATATTTGGTGTTTGGAAAATTAAGAGTATTTGGCTATCCACATTTTATTTTTAAACAGATACCTAATTTCAAGAGACTAAGAGAATTGATATATATATATATATATATATATCTAAAACAAGTATTTTATTTTTTTAGGATGTGGAAGAAAATTTTAAAAGAGCTGTATCAGAAGCAGAAGCATCATTTGGCAATGGATCCATGTTTATTGAGAAATTAATTCAGCATCCTCGCCATGTAGAAGTTCAAATCTTAGGTAAAATATTTATAAGAATAACACTACCATAGGTTGATGGAATAATTGAATTAAACTGCAAGTACTAGTCCAAGATATACAAGTTCTATTTAAAAAGGTTATGCATTACTTGATTTCTATTTTGAAGTGAGATTTGACTAACACCAGCATGTGTTTTCCACCACTACTATGAAAGTCACCACAATTGGTCAAATATTATTAATTTTACCTGTGATGATTTCAGAGTTTGTTATGATAAAATGTGATTTAGGTATTTGAACTTTTATATTTACAGATATTGCAATTTTGTGATAACCTACCAAACAATTGATATTTATTTAACACTCTCAGAAAACTAAATCTATTGATTAATTAGTTTTACAATTTAAATTTATTAAAAACAACTTATGCCTGTTTCTTTGTGTGTGTTGTGTATACTGCCAACCCAGTAGTATGTGAATGATGACAAACTTGACTTGTAATGTCAGTTTTCTTTGGAAACTGCTGGTTTTAACTAAATATTTGTGTAATGACATCAGTTGTGAAGGGTACATATCTATAATGGATTTCATAGATGTTTCATTTTATGCTGCAGCTACTAGTATCTGAATTATTTCCTCATAAGAGAAGTAACTAAGCACACTTTTATTACAATTGATTGAGGAATGAACTTTTTATGTATTTTGTATTTGACATTTGCTTCAGTAAATGGAATGCCATATTCTGGAGTAGTTTGAAATTTTAAGTGAAGTATGGCTTACTAAAGAAACTTTGTGTGAAGTGGCATTTGTTTTTCTGTTCTTCTTAGTAAATTTGGTTATTTGTACAATATCTCTTAAATTTAGTTGCTCTCTGATAATTGAATCTTTTACAATTTTACTATTTAAAGGAATTTTCCAGCTATTACTAATATTATACATAAAAAATTCATATAAATTTAAAAACGGTTGAATAAGAATATACAAACACTGATATAAACTTACCAGCAGCTATGGAGAATCAGTTAAGGGTGAGAAGTTGAGTTAAACAACCCGATTTGAAAAAAAAAAAAAATTGATGTTATAAGTAATAATATAATATTCTTATAGTAGAACTAACCCATCCTTAATTTCTACAGAACTCCCAACCTCCACCATTTTATTTGATATTATACATGATATTAAACAAAATAAAAGGCCCTTCCGATACAGTACTTACTTCCTCTCACAAGATTGGGTATTCTCAAAATGAAGTTTTTAAGTGGTTTACACTCACAAAAAAGAAACCTATCATTCAGTAGGTATTTGAAGAACTTGTAGCATTCTGCCACAATGTAATTCTTTGTATTTTTAGCTGACACAAGGTAGCCGAAACATACATAGTTAAACAAGTTGTTTAACAACAAGGGTTACTGATGAGGAGTGGAATTCCCCGAAACTAGTCTGGCACACAGACACACCTCCAATAAAAGAATAGACCATGCCAAGCTTTTACTTGTTGTTAAACAAATGTTTAAACAACTTGTTCAACTATTAGGTATTCTAGTTCATTGCTACCCTACTGGGTAAGAAAACTGGGAATTGGCATCCAGTCGTTGATTTATCTCACCTCAACTACCTCATCTCACTCGTCAAGCTTATCATAGAGTCTTTTCTCACCCTGAGATGGACGTTTTCGCCATGGTTGTGGATGACGAAAATGGATGTCCCCAATGCTTACCTCCACATCCTGATTAGCACATATGCCTCAACCTTATTTTTGGTTTGTCCATCTATGGATGGTTTGCCCTCTCGTATCCCCAATTAACACTGTTGCATGTTTTTTTTGCATGTGAAAGACTTATAATATTAACTGAAAGACTGACAAATTCTGTAAAGATATACACACTATATTGAAAGTTAGAAGTATTAAATCTATAAAGACTTTAAACAAGTACAAAGAGGTCACCTGATCAGTCAAATTGACTGAACCCGTGTTGAGAGAGTTAAATGCTTTTGTTATGGGCCTAAATACCAAGTTGCCTCTCTTTTGTACCGCATCCACAGGCTATGGCGATCAATGCCTTCAGCCAGGATTGGTCACACAAATACCTTTATGTGTAACCTCCAATCTGATTGCTTCATTGGGTGATTTCTCTTGTCCACTCCACTCCTTGTAGAGTTCTCCTGATTGCACTCTATTGCCCAGTGCAACCTTGGTTTCCAAGGTTACAACATCTGCTCCTATCACCACTTGTTCCTATTTCACTTTTTCCTTCCCTTCTTCATCAACCTTCATCCCACATTCTACCTCCAAATCTCTTTGTCCTGCATCTTTACACCTGGCTTTTGTCTGGTCCTTGGTGAAACAATCTGGTTTCATATATCTAGTCACCTCCTTGTTAACTAGTTCCTCACGGCAATCTTCCATGGAAATATACCACCATAAGTGGAAAGTCTTCTGCAGTTGGTCTACAAGCCTCCTGTGGCAGAATTTCTCATCTGGCTTTTCGACCTTCGGTCTTTGATCTCCTCACTTTCTGAATATCAGGTGGCCTTATTCCATAATTTCCATTTTTCCTGATACCGTAGGGTTTTCACTTACCATGCTTGTGCATTCCTTCCAGATTTGGAGCCCTCCAAGGAATCTTGCCCATCCAGATTGGGAAATTAATGTGGTCCTCCATGCCCTCACTTTACCTCTGTTTGAACCACTTTCCTCATGCTCTTTGTTTCATCCATCCCTTTAAACATATTTCCTACTTCTCTTGGCCTGTGGATGTTGATGATCTGATTTGTTTGCTATTGACATTTCACATATCCTTTATCACCCTACCAATCTTCTCCTTTATCCTGATCTTTCCTTTCTCTCTCTCTCTGACACCAGCAGCTCAAGAGGATTGTTCATCCTTTTCTTCTACATCCCATCTTTACCTTAGACCGGATCCAGATAGGTTTGTGTGTCCAGTCAGGGCCCTTCATTATTATATGGCACATACTGCTACTTTTCAGGGTATGTGTAACACTTCCCACCCTTTATCTCCACTTCTCTGGTGATCATACCTTCTGCCGAACTTCGAAGTGAAGGAGGTTCAGTAGAGGAGTGTAGAGGGAGTCACGTGCATCACACACGAGCATGTCCTGCTACCATTAAGAGATGATTCATGATGATTTGCATCAGAGACATTTTTTCAGTTTATTTCTGAATAAATTAACATTATGCATAAAGGAATTACTGTTATAACAATTTGTTAAGAATCTTTTTAATTGGGTAGTATAATTCCTTTTAACAATAACAATGGAATAACACTGTTAGGGATGGGTCAACTGTATACTGCTTTCTGTTAAATTAATGTCTATATCTAAATAATGAGCATGAATATCACTGCTGTTACTTCTTTTTATTATAAGCTTTGTTGGGTATATTATTCTTATATCAAAATTCAGGTTAGTGAATGAAATTAAATTGTTTATGTAATGAGTAGTAGTCAAATATAAATTAGGGTTTAATACCTGTTCAAAAAGAAATTCGTGGAGAAACGGATACAAATCGGCCATGTTTGAAGAGAAATTAGCACCCATTGGAATACCTACAGTTTGGTAATATACTACTTCATTAAAAGTGATATAACTATTATAAGTGCAAAAACTAAGTATATTTTTACATTGATATTGGTGAATTTATGTTTTGAAATTGTTATTTCTGCATTTATAAATTTATCAAATAGGTCATTAAAGACCCTTATTAAATCATTTGGATCTATTTTAGTATATAATGTAGTGAAATCGTAAGTAATAAGAGTTGTCTGTTTATAAAAAGTTTCAATTATTTAAGCAATCCAAAACCAGAATATTATTTTTCATGATAAAAAAAAAATAATAATGGTTCAAATCATTTGAAGACAGTAACTTTATTTTTTCAAATAAGATATTCAAAGTATTATTAAGTACTCAGACACTCAGTTCAGCATTCCCTATTGCATTTAGTGTGCTTGCTTTGTAGTTACTTCCCATAGATGTAAATTTTGGCAAAATATGGATATTGTGAGTCATTTTTGACAAACTTTATAATATTGTGCATGCTGAACTTTTCACATCCACACCACTGAGAAAAATAATTATTGTGCCACTTTTATCTGTTTATTTATTTTTTCTAATTGCTGGATAAAGAGTGATGATACTGAGAAATTTGAAAATTTTAGGAAAACTTTACATGGCGAATGAAAATTAGGCAAAGTTATTGAATTAAATTTTACAGATATGGTCTAGAGGTGCATATTATTCAGTATAAAGCAAAACATTTACCATTTTTAGTTCTGGAGAACAGTGATCAGCATGCATATCTAATGAATAATGAGCAATCTATGCAAATTGAAAAGACTATAGTAGTTTTATTTCTTTTCCTTTTATTTCGGTTATAAAGCTACTATTTTGTTTGATTTTTAACAGTTTGTAATGCATATTTAAATCTCTTATAGTACATTATTCAATAATTTCATAATTAAGTTACCAGATGGGCTATTAGTTAAGAATGATTTCTTTTTACTTGGGTTTATAAAAAATTGAATCTTTTCTTGTATGCATGAGCTGACCTAACCCAAACTACATAACTATAGTGTGTTGTGGGTTTTATTCATATGATAAAATTCACTTTTAGTATTTTTATTTATCAAAAATTTAAATAACCTTCACTGCTGAAATTTCATAAAATTACTACATAGTTTGAAGATTTTGTATTTTTCTAAATCTAAACAGTTATTACAAATATTAAAATGAAAAGTAATTTGAAAGTTTGTTGTCATGTTACTGATTACTGATACAAAATGACGGTAGCACAATAATGTCATATGTGCAAAAATGTTACTAACTACTGCTACAGGATAACAGAAATACAGTAACATGATGTATATCAGGATGTTACTGGTTGCTGCTACAGAATTATAGTAGTGTAACGTTACTGACTTTATACTGTCATTACTCCATACACATAGATTATAAAATGGTAAAGAATTCTGTAGGTGGTAAAATACCTGATACATAATATTGATATACATCAATTATTCTACATAGTAATATACTGAAATAAGTTGCATGATTTGCAGGAGATTATGAAGGTAATGTTATACATCTTTACGAGAGAGATTGTACTGTTCAGAGAAGACATCAAAAGGTTGTGGAAATTGCTCCAGCACCAAATCTTGACCCAAAGGCAGGCATTTTTTTAGTCATTTATACTTTGAATATTTGTTATAAATAATTTCATTGTGAATTATTAGAGCCTGCATTGTTGAAAATGTGTTATTTGTAACATCAAATGACTTGATTGTATTCACAACAAGAAAATTCTGCAATTTTCCATTATGCATATTGGCATATGTGTGTTTTTTTTTGTTTTTTTTTCTTTCTTTCTTTCTTTCTTCTTCTCCTCCTCCTCCTCCTTTCTTTCAGATTGCATAAATAATGCTTCTCCTTTACTGGTATTAATTTTGACATTTTCTCAAGCCTCATTCATTGTATAGTTTGATTTCTAATTTAACCCTCATGGGCACAACTGGGATCCATGTGGATCCGAAGGACTTTCTTGGTTGTGTATCTTTTTACATGATCATTACAAATTTATATCCATTCATGTAATTGTCAAGCAGAAACCTTGGATCAATATGACTGGCTATAATATAATATTTATATGGGGTCCATGTGGACTCCATACTGTCATTGACCATCACTATACATGCAGTTTGCCCTATAGCATACGAAACAAATTTCTAAATGTTTGTTTCACCGTGTAAGCTGTTATAGAGGATAATCCCTCAAAGTAGTACAGTATCATTTAGTCTGTTTTTTATAACATCATTGTGGGAAGCATGTATGTGTATCTCATTCCCCCAACAAGTGTTCTCTGTGATGACTGCTTATAATGCCCTATTTTATAGAAACATTATTTCATAATTGTTGTAAATAACCTGCTTATTGGATTTTAAATCCATGTCTTACTGTAAGGATACATTTGTGTTGTGGTCTGGTTGGATGCAAGGTGACCCACAACATACACTTTCAGTTTTCTTTGAGTTAAATTTTGCAGTGTTGCAGTAATCTCATCATATATTGGTGGATAATGACTTGAATATAGGAGTATAGTAAAACTTTGGCATTTTTTGATAAACTGTTTGTATAAGGTATGGTTTAACTCTACGTATTTGTATACTGAAGAACAATGTAATTTTGTAATTTCCTGATTTATCAAAATATTTCTTCTAGAATACATGTATATTTATGTTATTCACATTGCGTGCTAACCTTATAAACACTGTAATTCAATTGGTTTTTGGAATTTCAATCCAGAGCTTAGTATAGTGGTAATTTTGTGCTGGGAGCTGGTTGTACCCCAGGTGTTCCATAATGTAACTTTTCAAAAGTGTGCTGATAAGGGTTAAGTGTAATTTATTATAGGAGTATGTGCAGAAGTCGTATGTCTAATGGGCAGGATATTCAAAAAACTGTACTCTACATGTGAAACAGAACCAAGAGAAATGTTAAATATTCCTTTTTGGAGATTTTCTCAGATAAGTTAACTATACGAGTCATTAATACTATAATGTTACTGCTCAACATCTCTAGTTTAGGACAGTTTATTGTATATATGATTTAAAATCCACATTTAATAAAAATTATTCAGTACTATGGATATTCATATTGATAGAAAAATTAATGAAGGGTTTGAATTTACATTTTATTTTGAATAGATCCGAGACAGAATGACTGCAGATGCTGTAAAACTAGCAACGAATGTAGGATATCAAAATGCTGGGACAGTTGAATTTCTTGTAGATGAAAAGGACAACCATTACTTTATTGAAGTCAATGCAAGGTTACAAGTAGAACATACAATAACTGAAGAAATAACTGGGCAAGTCCTTTATAATGTTATGCATGTTAGTGAAATACATTAAAAATTAAATTGAGAAATATAAAACAAACTTGACAGGCTTCAAAGATGCTGATAGTATGCCAAGTAATATTTTATCGACAGTAACACTTTCTAAGTGGCTGTAAGAGTTTGAAATTTTGTGTTGGAGTACATAGATACAGTCTAGGTCATACTAAATGTAATGAGTGTTAATGTGGTTAATTTTCATAATTCTTCAGTTTTCTAAAATACATCCTTGAAATCACCAAAAAATTAATGTCTTCCTCTCCATTTGAAAAAATAAACAAGGCATTGTAAGTACTAGGAATCATTGTTTTTCTCTATTTTTTTTATTTATTGTGTTATTTTCGAAGAAAAACAACTAAAAATCAAATATTTATGAGTAAATAGTAATAATAGATGTGTGTGTGTGTATGTCAAAAGGGCATTTTTTTTCCCCCTGTGTTTGTATTATTTCTTCTTTAGACTGCATCGTACTGTATTTACTTAAACAGTGTAAGAGCATTTAGACTGCAACAAAACTAGGATAAGAAAAAGAAAATGCTAGAGATGCACTAGATATTAATTGTTTATAGTATCTTCTTTAAACAAAGTTAGTCATACAGTAAAATATGATAGGTAATTTCGTCTTAATGTTTTAACACCATTATAAATTTAGGTAAAACTAGCAAAACATTTGTAGTTTTTTTTTTACTTTTTCTAGAAGGCATTTGTAATATTTGTGATGCGTAATATTTTGTCTTTGTATAGTATTGACTTGGTGCAGTCACAGATTAAGTTAGCTGAAGGATATACCTTACCAGAACTTGGCATGATTCAAGATAACATAGAGACCCGAGGCTGTGCCATTCAATGCAGAGTTACCACAGAAGATCCATCAAAGAATTTTCAACCAGATACTGGAAGGTTAGAGGTAAGCATGTTTAATATTTTTTTTGTTCTATATCCTACATATAGTATAATTGGGTTTGTTTGTAGTTATGCACAAAGCTACACAATGGGCTATATGTGCTCTGCCCACCACGGGTATTGAAACCCAGTTTCTAGCATTGTAAGTCTGCAGACACTGCTATGCCACTGGGGAGGGGGCATATAATTGGGCATCTTAATGTTACAGTTATAAGAGTTAAGCTCTTGGTGAATAGTAACATCTCTACTGTACCATAAATAACTAATGTAGATGTTACTTGGCATCCCCCTTTCAAGCCAAATATTAATTGAAATAATATATGAACAACAGGGCTCTATTTTAAGGAAATTTCCAAGTTGTCCTTCAGGCAATCTGACCTGTATTGGAGGTTGTCCAGAAAATAAGAATACATAACCCTCAATAAAAGATCCAATTACAACGATGTTGATTTACAGAGACCCTAAAAAAGATGCAGTTACAAGAATTTTTATGTTTTTATATATTATTTATTTCCAAAAAGCTCAATTAATGTTTAGTTGGCAATCTTTCATCTTTATTCAACTAATTTTTTATGCCTTACTTCCCAGGAAGTTTCATTACATTGGAAAAAAACATGCCCAAACCATGGTAATGTTACATAGTATCTTAAGGAAATAAACAGTCAATGACCTGTAAGACTATTAAACGAAATAGCAATCTTGGCCAATCGTGCAGCTAAGTACAGTAAAGTACAGCGTGTAGCAAGACTAGACTTGCATGGGAACTCCCCCATATACTACTATATATTAACATGCACACAATGCCTAAGCACTACACGTGTGTGTGTGTGTGTGTGTGTATATATATATATATATATATATATATACACACACACACACACACAC